GTAGAAATAAAATAAGGCACACCAAAAAAACAGAATGAGGAACAGGTTGTAAGTGGGGTAAAATCTCCTTTTTAATCCTTTTTAAAACCCTTCAGCAATAGGAATGTCTGTTAAGCCATAAATTATCACTTCAAAAGACAGGGTAAGGCCATGGCAGAAGAAAAGTGTGCTCTTCGTGGACAAACTTCAGAAGGTTCCTGAGTTTGTTTGTTTATTTGTGGGAGACTTGTAGAAGCACTTGTCTGATATTGAAGTGACTGCGGAAGCAGCTATGGGACACAAGAGCAAAATGAACTTTCATGCTTTGGTGCAAGTGAATGATCTCCACTCAAGAGCTCTGCCAGAACTCACAGATGAAGTAGCTGAAGCACTGGCAACAGTTACCAACCCTTCACTTAAAACAGGAAAGTTGACAGATGTGACATCAATTTTCTAAAACGGTTCTTGAGGAGATCCAAGGAACTAGCAAAGTCTGACTGAGGCCATTAATAGAAACTGTAGTTTGAAAAAAAAATAAGGAAGGAAAAATATCATACACTGAGGAGGAGACACCATGACTTGTGTAAAGAGAAGCCCTACCTCACAAACCTCCTGAAGTTCTTTGAAGGCATTGGGATGTATATGGATAAGGGAGCTCCTATTCATAGAGTATGCTCAAGCTTCTAAAAGGTTTCTGGTTGTCTGGCACCAAATTCAGTCTTCACATGAATGAGCAGTTGGTTGAAAGATAGTCAGCAGAGAATAAAAACAAATGGTGAGTTTTGACTAATCACAAATGAGATCTTCAAGCTTGAACAAGTTCTTAGGCGGACTCCTGAGCTCTGTCTGAGTAGTAGTTCAAGAAGCAAATGTTAGGAATAGTCACACTGGAACAAGGGACAGAGAGTTAAATAGGGTGCCCTGGGGGCACTTCATTGACCATTGGTGCATCTCACTTCAATATCATGTGCCAGTTTCAGAATTGATGAAGGAGAGTGGGAAAGTTCAGAGAAGGGTCAATGGAACAGCTGCTGTACAAGAAGCAGTAAAATCACGTAGGGCTTATCAGCCTGGGAAAGAGGTGGCTGAAGAGAAATCTGACAAATGTTTTTAAAATTCTGAGAGGCATGGAAAAGGTGACTAGCAAATGACAGTTTTTTGCCTCTTCCAACATAAGCACAAAGGGTGCCAAAATAGGTTAGTAGCTGCTCTGTTCCAACAGGCGAGAAGCAGTGCTTTTCTCATAAAATGTAAATCTCCTTGCTGTAGGAGGCTGTGGATGTGAAAAGTCTGCTCAGGTGCAGAACACAAATATGCAATGTCACGGAAGAAGAAGCCACTGCAGGTTATCAAGTACAAAGACCTTCGGCCCAGGAAGTCACTGAGCTGCAAAATGTGTGAGAGTATTTTGGGGAAGTGTCACATTCCCTTCTACTCTGGTGCAGGCATTTGCTGCTGGCCATGGTCAGAAACAGGTCTCAGGGAGATGGGCAGCTGGTCTGACCTAATACAAGTGTATTTATGTTATTTTTTTATGACCCTTCCATAAGAGTGGCAATTACATTACCCAGAATCTATCTAGCCTGGATAAAGCATGAGATGCTACATGGCTGGGAATGGCCTTACCAGAAACAGTGGGAGGGTAAAGTAGAGGGCAGTTTGCAAACCCTTTCTGATAATAGGGTTTTTTTAATTAAAAGGCATTGGAATTCAACGTGGAGCCTGTGACAGAGAAGGGAAAAAAAGAAGGAAGAATTAGGGAAACAAATATCTGAAGACAGTAGCTTGCACAGTGCTTTCCCCGCAGACTTCCAGCAGCTGCTGATGGTGTATTCAAGCCGTGAGATCAACACTTCTTTCATAAACTCTTGGTTCCAGGATACGGTACATGGCACCCCTGACACTTGCTCTTACCCCCACTGAAGCAGGGTCTTTTAAGTCTTTGTGGACTGAGTCCTGGGTATTTGTTTCTATATTTAGTTACAAAACACAGTGACACATTTTTTACTGTAAAGCCTTTAGCTAATCATTGATAGACTGGTGCCTATAAAAGAGCTCTGTAGTTATTCAGAGTCTACAACTTCCTCTTTCAAAGTTTAGTGCTTTTATATTCCTTGGCTGTTTAAATGGTATTTTCACCCTGTAGCAAGAAGAATTTGTGTGATATACAGATATCATCCTGGGATCTTCTTACCACCTAAAACAGGAATATTGTCCTAGCAGTCATTCAGTTACTGTTTCACAAGCTGCCCCTCTGAAATTTAGACTTGAAGGCAAACTTTGGTATTTGCTGGAAAGAGAAAACAGGTTTTGTTACTCCTGTTGTCCCTGTTGCCTCTCCATTTGGGATTTTAAATAGGGCATGCATCCTTCCTGCACGAACCGGTTCACCTGGGCTCTCCTGTTCCCCAGCTATGGTTGCATAGCTGAAGCTGCTATTCCGTGCCTGCGGAAAGACAAGATTAAGTGCAGCTCAGTGCTTTTATATGAATATTTATCTGCCGGATAGAGATATCAACTTATACATGAAATGCTTTGTAACCTGTATCCAGAAGTGTAGTGTCTGTGTGACCAAGGGCAACATACTGCTAAACTAATCCCACAAAAACCCACCAATGGCCAGGGTATGTATTACTTTATAAGAAGCCTAATGTCAGGAGGTAAGGCAAAGGAATAGACTAATTTAAATGAATGTTATGAAATTAAACCAAAAGAAGATTCCATCCAGGGAATCCTGAAGTTTCTCTACCATTCATCTCACTGTCCGCAGGACCAGCCAACCTCCTGCCACTGCAGCTGGCCAGGAGAGGCAGGACCTGAACTGAAGAATCTTCAACATAGCTCTTGCAAGACTGTCTCCTAATGTGTGTAGTAACTGTAGTCAAAAGAAGGGCAAGGTCTTCATCTCCTGTCTATACCCATAATAGTCAACCCAGCAGTGATATCCGGTGAGGATGTCCTAGTGTCGTTCAGCAGAGTGCTGCAGTGCTGCATGAGAGCACAATACTGAGTTGGAGTGAGGAGAAACACGGCATTCAGCTCAACATAATGACTCAAATCTGGTCAGGATGTCAAAGCTGCAAGTGTCACCCTGTGGCAGGTGCTAGAGCCTGCACAGGAATGCGTGTCCCTTGCTTGGGACCTGCACTGCTGGTGGACAAGGTTACTGTTAACACATCCAAGATTGCAGACGTGTTGATGCAGTGCAGCCACCACTGTGGATCTTGCAGATCCTGTGTCACCCGTGCCGACCCCAGAGCTGTCTCTGCCCTGTTCCCACTCTGTTCCCTGCTACAGCTGGGCAAAGCAGCATCTTCCTGGGTCCCCCTTAGGGATGAGGGGGAGGAGAGGGGAGCAGTCTCCTCTTCCCCACAGCAAGCGATGCCCCATCCCTCCACAGCAAAGTGCCAGAGATCACTGCAGCTGCACACCTTATGAGGAAGCCGATCTACAGAGGAAGGCCAACAGGGATGAGAAAGACAGAAAACAAAGCCTTCTTCCACCCCCTCACCCATTATTGCAGGACTGAATACTGCAGCAATATTTTGATTTACTTCCATCAGCATCACACAAAGCTGAAAAGGTATTGCCAGCCACATCCTGCTTAGTGCTACTGTGATTTTGCAGGCTGTCTCAGGCTGGCATAGATGCAGGCAGTGAGAGGAGGGTATCTCTGTAGCTCTGAGGATTTTAGCTTGAGATAGGAGGATCCCAAAAGGAAACTAAGAAAAATGAGACAATTTAGCAAAACTGTCGGGAATTAATGAAGTGATTCTGTTTCCCTGTCCCTATGTTTGCAGGTTAAAAGGCTTCATCAAAACAATATTGTCTGTTCTCTGTCTATGGGGTGAGGAGGGCTTTGCGTGCCCAAATTTATTTCACTTTGGTTTTTCTGCATTTTGCCAGCCAGGGTTGTATGTTTGGGCACTCACAGGTGAGTGAGAGAGCACTGGGCTGACAAGCTGTTGCAGGCGCTAGAAGCGCAGCAGCAGCAGCTATGCCACAGTGGTCCAGGGGCACCTGAGAGCCAGAGCCCCTCAGAGTCACCTCAGCTTTCTGTAGGTGAGCTCTACAGAGAGACTAAGAACATCCATTAAATGAGGAAGGCGAAGGGGGAGAAAAATCTGGTAAGTCCATAAACCAGCAACTAACTACTGAAGAAAAATACGATGTGGATGAATAGTGTCGCAGTTGCCAGTACAGGCTTTCTGGACATTTTTTGTGTAAGAAAGCTTTTCTTGCTGCAGTTTCTTTCCTCTACCTGTCAGGCTATCTAGATTGTGAATTTTGCAGGTGCAGTTGTCCCTGGGATTAACTGCTGCTGTCCACAGGATATGACAGTTTAAGGCATGGGGTGAAATTTACAGGAGTCAACACGTGGGGACAGGCAGAACGTGATTACTTGAAACTACACAAACAGGAGGCAGGAGGAAAACAAAACCTTGTATGAATTCTCCAGGCCTGCCATGGGGCGAATGAACTTGATTTGTTGTTTCTTTACTGAAGTGCATTGGGCTTGGGGTTTCTCAATCAAAAGTGAAGTTTGAATTGTTTCTCGAGCATTCCTGTTTCTGAGTGATTGGTCGTTCAGAAATGAGTGTTGCCAATGGAGAGCATTTATGCAGAGTGGTTGCAAGAGCAGGGTGAGAGGGGTGCGTGGGTGGCTGAAATGCTTCAGTGGCTGCTGCCACTTCTCTGCCCCTGAAGCAGAGCTACGGGCTTGCAGAGGTGGCTCAAAGGGACTGATGAGGAATGCTAAACAGTTGATGGGGTAGCAACTGGTAAGTGCCACAGATGGATGCCGACCACCCTGAGGGACGTGATACCTTGTGCTGTCTGTGAGGTTTGTACGGGCTCTGTGTATGCATGTGATGTTTATGAGAGAAAGCCTGCTACTGCTGTGATTAATTGACTTTTAAGAGATTAAGGACTGTAGTAGAGCAATTATTTCCAGTCCTGTCCCCGTAGCAGTTGTGTCCTGTGGTAGGGTTGTAACATAGTGTCTTTCCATCTCTCTCTAGGTTCTCAAGCATCTGCGACACTTAAATTTCACCAATAACATGGGGGAGCAAGTGGATTTTGATGAGTTTGGGGACCTAGTAGGAAATTACTCAATCATCAATTGGCATCTCTCTCCAGAGGATGGCTCAGTCGTCTTTGAAGAGGTTGGGCACTACAATGTTTACGCCAAGAAAGGCGAGAGGCTCTTTATCAATGAAAACAAGATCCTGTGGAGTGGATTCTCTAAGGAGGTAAGTGCTTAAATCCTCACAGCAACTTTTCTCAGGTTTCCAATAGCTGGAATTTGAACTAATTCTGCACACTTCTCATATTAAAGCTCCGTGTCTCATTAAAAGATCCATTCATCTTGCTTTGTACATGGTCTCTGCTGTAGTCTTTCACATTCTTGTTACACACTTCTGGAAGCAGCAGGCAGCTGCTTCTTCCCCCCTGTACATTTTGATGAGTCTGGGTATTAGTGGTTTAAATAATGCCTTTTTTCTGGCCCAAGTAGATAGCTTGGAATTTTGCAATGCTGTTTTCACAAGGATGAGAAATTAATTACACAAGTCTGGTTGTTGACTAAGCCAAGTTTTCCTGAACTCAGTAGTTTCATTGCTGAAAACAGCTATCTCTTCCACTCCCAGTATCTCTGTATCAAGAAGTGTCTCTTCCTGCTCCTAGTTAAATTCAAAACTCTTTCTGCTGGCTTTACTCTCCAAGTCCCAGAGCCTTCCTCACACCTGTGCTTTGCAAACCAAATGGAACAAGCCCTGTCAATCTGCCCAGGGTAACTTGGACATGGTGCTCTCATAGTGGAAGATGCCAGTACCTGCTACCTTTTATTAAGTCTACCAGAAAGTGTTTGTGCAGCCTCAAAAGTACATGATGCAGCCATTGATGTCGTAGCCTTCTCCAGCCTAGACAGAAACCCCAGCTCCTGAAGGGGATACTGAGCGGGCATCTGGCTTGTGGCCTGGGAGGTGAAACAGGGAGTGTGTCATTAGCTTAGAAATGTCACTGCCAGGCCCTGCTGCAACATTTAGGCGTGTTAAATCAGCAGCCGATTAATGAACAAGGCAATTCACTTCCAGGTCATTATTCACATTGCGTGACAGATCTGGTAGCTGCTTCTGCAGCAGCTACACTTACCTGATATACTTACACCATCAGTTAAGCCTTACCTTTGCTCCAGGTACCCCAGCTTCACTTACAGTTTAAATCCAGAGGTCTGTGAAGGAAGCATTGGTCAGGCAGAGCACATTACCTAATACTGAGCTCAGGCTTTTCTAAGCCCAGCTGGAGTCTCTGAGCACAAACCACAAGTGGAATTAAAACCCCAGATATTCTAACCCCTCCCTCTGATCGTTGCAGATGCCTGACACCTTTTCCAATAGTTAGGATTTTATTGTTTTTACTTAAACTGAGTAATTTTGCTCTCTTGGTCTCAATTCCTCTAACAGTGTAATGTTTATCTTCATTCTCTGTCATAAACTGTTAAAAATGCAACTGAATGTTGCTGAGCATCATGCCAGAGCATGTAAATTGTGTGCCAGTGGAAGGGTTTGTGATCTCTGTCTGCTGCAGCCTTTTTTTCAGTTTATAGAGTTTGACTTTCTTCCAGATTAAAGGCTCTGCTCAAAGATAGTAGCCAGTACTTCACTCAGTGAAGCCTTCTGTGCCTCTGTCATCCTCAAAAAAAAGATTAAATATAGTTAATTTTAACACAGGAACTTCAGCATTGAACAGACTCGCAAAAGAACAAGTTAAAGAGTAGGTAAGCTAGATAGATTCATTTTGGCAGAACTTGATTAAATTCCCCACAGAATACTTAAGGTGGCAGCCAAAGCAATCTCAAAAGTACCAGCAATTCATCTTTGAGAAATGTGGAGGATGGGTGATGTCTCAAAGGATTAGAGGAGGGGAATCACAATACCTGTTTTTTAAAACAAGACACAGGAAAGCTAAGGGAATTACACACAATTGAGCTGAGCTCCAGTAACCTAAAAGACTTGATTACAAAAAATAATGAAACAGTTTATAAACACTTGGAGGATAAGAAACTGATAAGAAACTGATAAGAAAAAGGCAACATGGATTTGTCAAGATGCTATCATGCCAAACCAATTTAATTTTCCTCCTTGGATGCTCAGTCGGCTTAGCAGATAATGGGAAAGCAGCGCACGACTTCAGTCGGGCCTTTCATTCAGCTCCACTCAAAATAGAAGTTGCCACTACCAAGGGCCTGCTCACCCTGTGGTGGAGGGCAATGCCTGCACACAGGCAATTTCCAAACCATACCCTGGACTCACTGCCTAAGTGCATCCACACAGGAGGTTCCTGGAGACCAGCAGGTTAAGCAGCATCTGGGCAAACTAGTAGCAAACCTCCAGAAACGTGAATGGAGGGTTCCAACCAGAGCAGCCCTTAAGTACATACAGACCATGGTACTTTGCTGGCAGAGGAAATTGTGGGTTTAACTCTCCTGAGATGAGAAAGCCATGTTCTGTGTCAGCTCTCTTTCCTAAATTTAGTTGGGAAAAGATGAGCTCAACCTCAGGTTGTGCTTCTGGGTAAAAAAGGCCCACGCTTCCACTTGCCATGCTGAACTTCTCATTGTCAGTGTGTATTAGGCACGTGGTGAGAATGCCCTTGTAGCCACTTGCTACCGGGCTATGACCATGCCCAGATTGGCTCACACACAGCAAAAATGCACAGCCAGCAGGTGATACAGCTCATCATTTGCAGCAGCAGGAGTCTGGAAGTCTTTAGATATGCATATAGCTACCGACTTGCATCTTTAGATGCTCAGTGTTCTAGAAACAGGGGCTTGCTTTCTTATGATAACTCTTGTTTAGTTGATCTAGCTTTTTTGTTTCTGGGTTGGAGAAGGTCTTCAGGAGAACAGGAGGAAGTTGGTTTCAAGAAACTGTTTTAATTCCCATAAATCATTAGCAGTCAATACGCAATATACAGGATCGGGGATCAGTAGTCACAGCCCATCATCTCCAAGGCTGACTCAAATTCCTGCCAGTAGAGAGTGATTGCCTTTCTTTTAACTATCTAATGACAGTTTTCTGCTGTACGTATCATGGGTCACATACCAGTTTGCAGTGCCCACAACACAGTAGAGATTACAAAGATCTGCTCATCTTCCCTACCATCCCTTGATCTGTTCTTTCAAATATCACTGCAGTGGGTTGGGGAAGGACTATTGTGCAAAATGTGTCTGTTCTATGGAGGGAAGAGGTGAGCCTCTGAGGCTCTCCATCCATCGTGCTAATCAAGCAATAACACCTTTGGAGGAAGCCCAAGGTCCTGCCATAGAAAGGCTGTGTGTGGTGCACTGCCATCGTTAACCCCCATCCCGCTCTCGTCTTGCAGGTGCCTTTCTCTAACTGCAGCAGGGACTGCCTTCCGGGCACGAGGAAAGGCATCATTGAGGGAGAGCCCACCTGCTGCTTCGAGTGTGTGGATTGCCCCGACGGGGAGTACAGCGATGAAACAGGTAATACCCACAGAGCTGCCTTGGGGTTTGCAGAGGACCATGCGAGCCCTCTCAGCATCCCCTGCAGTTGTGCTGAAATCGATCCTCTACAGTGCAGAGCTGGAGGCTGCTTTGCCAGGGGGCTTCACGGAAAGTCTGCAGGAGCTTCATCTGAAAAGCTTATGGGATTTGAGTCCTGTGGTCTTTAGGTCCTGTCTTCTGCTAGACCTGTTTGTTACTTCTGCTTTGAGTTAGGAAAATTAAGGCAGAGAACTTGAAAAAGGACTTGCATATAGCACACCTCGCAGGCAGCCACAAGGAAGCTCTATTGCACTGTAGCAATAGCTTTTGTTCCTCCCAAAGCCTGGAGGAAGGAGACGCTCCCTATCCTAATCCTAAATTCTGTAGTTATCTGTCTGCTTTTCCTCATGTTGTCAGGGTTTTATTTCATGCTTTACAAAGAAATAAAGTCCATTCCATCAGTGACTTCACAAGCAAAGAGGGATATTTCCCTTTACAAGGTCACCAACCACAGCTTCTATTGAGCACTGGCACTGCAAAAGACCAGAATCTCTGGGTCCTGTCAGATGCCCATGGACATCTTTTTTTGTTGGCTTCAGTGGGAGCTTGGATCGAGCTGCTCAGGTTCTGCAGTGGAGGGAAAAGGTAACCTCAGTTTTAGAGTTGCTAAAAAAATTCTGAATTTCTAATGTCATTAGTGCCTCCTCAGTGTCTGCCAGTCCAAGGGTAACAAAGGCAAGTAAATCCTCTGAGAACAGCAGCCCACTTCACGCTGCAAAGTGCTCATGATCTCCTCACACCCTTTTCGGCAGTGCTGGTCCCAGCACACGCTGCACACCTTGACTAACATGAAAACTTCAGTCAGCTGCATGTGAGACTGAACATTTGTTCTCTTTTGGGATAATCTAATTTGCATCCCATCAGACAGGGATGATATTTTTTTAGTGTGAACATATAGTACTACAGGATGCTTGGGAGTAGTATTTTCAAATTAAATAGAAGCGAGGCTGGTCATGTGTAATAGGGGTCTTTTGGTGTTTTTCACAGGATTTTGTGAGCTGGCACTGCTGTGCTGATGAAATGTGTGGGGCTGAGGGGGTGACTGCCTTCTGACTCCACGGTTTCCTGCTGCTATTTCAGCTGACAGTAATGCTCTTTATTTCCCATGCTTGCCAGTTTTATAGGCGTAGAGAGCAGTTTTACGACCAGTCTCATCCAGCTGAGACAGTGATACTACCGAAGGAGACCATCTGTCATGTCCTTTCCTGGCTGTTTGCTCCCACCCTTCCTCTGGGAGCAGTGCTGGTACTCGTGTGACCATGGAGTGAGTTGGATCAGGTCTCTGGCCCTCCTGAAAACAGACTCTTGGCTGGCTGAGTTTCCAGCTAGAATGAGAAATTGTGTGATGGCTCGGGCTAACACAAAGGAGGGGGCAGGAATGAGCATCCTTGGAGGAGGAGGGAGATCTGGTTTACTCCCTTCAGTGGCAGCATGGTCTTTAAGTCAGCTGGAGACACCAGTGAAAGCACTTCTTTAGAGTGCAGTGCTAAACAGCTTCCCCTGCCTCTGGCAGAGGTGGTTGAATTCCCTGGTGTGTGAAGTTAGCTCTGCCTTGCCTGCAGTTTGCAATAGGCCTCCAGGTAAAAGGCACAAGAAAAATTAAAAAGATTGGCTGAATGGATGTAAATTAAGTGGCATGTGGTGATGGGAGTTTCTGACTGAGCTTTTGCAGCGAGTGCATCTTTTTCACACGAACAACTTTCCAGTCAATAGGAAAGCAGCATACTTTCAGGTCACAGATGCTCCCTCCAACCACCTCCAGCACAACAGAGCCTGCAACCCTCTGCTCTCATTAGCTGAGCATTCCTGGCTTTCTCATTAGCTTCAAGCTCTGCTCTGGAAGCTATGCTCCGAGTCTCTGTGCTTAGGTGCACAGCTCAGAGGCAGGTTGCTGCCAAAGGGGATTTCTGAATGTTTGTTCCCAGAGCTCACTGCAGCCCATTGCTATCCCGCTGGGATCCTGAAGGCTGAGGTAGGTTGTGACTTCCACCTCACTGCTCTCAACCCCTTTCCACTGCCATCAAGGAAGTCATGACCCTCCCCACTGGAGCACAAGACGCAGGTGGGTCAAAGAAGACAACCAGAAGCAGCAGGCACTTGCCTTTTGATCGTGGCAGCCATTGGAGACATATATTGCCATCCCAGTAGGCACAACTCGTTTCATGTAGAGGAAAGAGATGGAGACATCGGTTTTCCCTTTGCAAACATCAGTGGGACGCTTTGCTGGGTGTGGGGAGAGTGATCTCGTTAAGACGCCTCTTCCCCTGATCTTCCAACATGAAATCAGAGTGTGCTGGGAGTCAAGGGCATTGCCTTCAGGGAAGAGCAATTTAAATACTTCTGAGACTCACCTCCGTGGAATATGAAATAGGTTCTCAAGGCACTTAAGGAGGCAAGCACGTTTTTAATTTTCTCTGTAATAGAGACAGGCAGGATGTTTCAAATTATGATAGAAATGTGAGAGATATGAAGACAGACAGAAGTAGATTATAAAAATGAAGGAACAAGAAAGAGAGGGGGACAGAGCCTGTGTAACAGCCGATAGCAATCAAAAGTTTGCAAAGTTTTGCCGAGAAATGGATTCCAGAAACAAAAGTGGTTAAGCTGGAACTAAGCACAGTTTGTGTTTTGCTGTGTAGCCTGTGGGAGGCTGGTTGTTTCCGTGTAAAACACTCTGAGACACCAACCACTCTGATTCCAGGAACCCGCGGACACCTGAAGGAAACACCCCACGCATTTAAGGTGAAGACTGGTGTGTAGCTGTCATGTATGTCATCCCACATTTCAACCTCTCATTCTGACAAACCTTCCCTCTCCCTGTCACTTCTTTTTCAGATGCAAGTGCCTGTGACAAGTGTCCTGAGGACTACTGGTCCAATGAGAACCACACGTCCTGCATCCCCAAGCAGATAGAATTTCTGTCCTGGACCGAGCCCTTTGGGATTGCTCTGACTCTCTTTGCTGTACTGGGAATTTTCCTGACTTCTTTTGTCCTGGGAGTCTTCACCAGATTTCGCAACACGCCCATTGTCAAGGCCACAAACCGGGAGCTGTCCTACCTCCTCCTCTTTTCCTTGCTCTGCTGCTTCTCCAGCTCGTTGTTCTTCATTGGCGAGCCCCAGAACTGGACTTGTCGTCTGCGGCAGCCAGCTTTTGGCATCAGCTTTGTCCTCTGTATCTCCTGCATCCTGGTGAAAACCAACCGTGTCCTGCTCGTCTTTGAGGCAAAGATCCCCACAAGCCTCCACCGAAAGTGGTGGGGCCTCAACCTCCAGTTCCTCCTAGTCTTCTTGTGCACATTTGTGCAGATTGTCATCTGTGTGATTTGGCTCTACACCGCCCCACCATCCAGTTATCGAAACCATGAACTGGAGGATGAGATTATCTTCATCACATGCCATGAAGGCTCCTTGATGGCCCTCGGCTTCCTCATTGGCTACACCTGCCTCCTGGCGGCCATCTGCTTCTTCTTTGCCTTCAAGTCTCGAAAGCTGCCTGAGAATTTTAACGAGGCCAAGTTCATCACCTTCAGCATGCTGATATTCTTCATCGTGTGGATCTCCTTCATCCCTGCTTACGCCAGCACATACGGCAAGTTCGTCTCTGCCGTGGAGGTGATTGCGATCCTGGCTGCCAGCTTTGGGCTCCTGGCCTGCATCTTCTTCAACAAAGTCTACATCATCCTCTTCAAGCCCTCCCGCAACACAATCGAGGAGGTGCGCTGCAGCACAGCTGCCCATGCTTTCAAGGTGGCTGCCAGGGCCACGCTGAGACGGAGCAATGTGTCGCGCAAGCGCTCCAACAGCCTGGGGGGCTCCACCGGCTCCACCCCTTCCTCCTCCATCAGCAGCAAGAGCAACCACGAGGACCCTTTTCCTCTACCAGCTTCTGCCGAGCGGCAGCGCCAGCAGCAGCGTGGGTGCAAGCAAAAAGTCAGCTTCGGGAGCGGCACGGTCACCCTGTCACTGAGCTTCGAGGAGCCACAGAAGAACGCCATGGCCAACAGGAACACCAAGCGCAGGAACTCCCTGGAGGCCCAGAACAGCGATGACAGCCTGATGTGGCACCGGGCCCTGCTTCCCCTGCAGAACAATGAGCCCCTCAGCAGCGAGCCCGGCTTCCAGGCAGCTTCCAGCCCGGAGACCAGCTCACAGGAGTCAGTGGTGGGAGACACCAAAGAAGAGGTACCAAGCCCTGAGGCAGAGCCTTCCCTGCCATCGGCTAACTCCCGAAATTTTATAGGCGCTGGAGGTGGCTCTGTCACAGAGAACATGGTACATTCCTAACGAAAGAAGATTGTGAAAAGCACACCAGCCTCCAGGAGGAACTTGCTCACCTCTTGCTTCTGAGCGAGAAAGACAACAAAGACACGCTCCTGTGACACAGCCCCACCACGCTTACTGCTAGGGTAACACAGGTGCCTCCAGAGAAAGGACTGAGTCTGGGGAGCCTTGGACTGGATTTGTGTTCGCTTTAGTGAAACCAGGACATCTCAGAAAGACAAGTGAAGATCTCCTCTGGTGGGGCTTAAGCAGAAGTCTGCATGCTGCCTTGCCTCCAAAAGCTTTTCCTGCCAGACTGCAACTCAGCTGACTATGGGAGGCACTGGGCAATTCCACTATGCTCTGCTTTTACATTTATGTATAATATTCCTCTTTCCCACTATGTATAATATTCCCTCTTTATCCAGTATATGTGATCTGTAACCACGTGCATCAGGACTCTCAGCTCTACAAAAAGCAAGGTACATGGTTTCACTTAGGGAAAGCACGGTCATGGGGAAAATAAAAAAGCCCCCAACATCCTGCATTGCTGTGTACAGCCAAGGGTGTGAACATGTAAAGTATTTAATGTGACAGAGCGCCCTGCTATTTATATTTAGTAATGTCCCAATCTCTCCTTTCTGCCCAGCAGGACATACTGGACAATACTCTTCATAGACTCCATTGCACTAGTCCAAGCTACTAGGTTCCTACTGGTTTCCTTCAGCTGAGGTAGCTTCACCTCCAGCCTGCCTGCTTTGGGGAGAACAGCTTGTAAATCCCCTTCCCTCCCCGTGGAGAACGTTGCGAGAGCACAATGAGATGTATCCATGATTGATTATGTCGCTAGTAGTTGTATGCTTAACAAAGTGTTGCTGCTGTAATATTCCACATGGCATACATGGCTAACCCCTTCACACCATAGTCAGTGTTGTGCTTTGCCGTGCTAATCTGCCTCACACCTACACAGAGCATTGCGCCAGTTGTTGACGATACCGGTGGGCCTGATACAAAGCAAATGGAAGGGGGTGAAGTGGAGGAGAAAGGGATGGAGAAGTAGCCCACGGACGTGGTAATACGATTGCAGGAGTGGGTGTTTATCTGAAGTGTGTGTGCTGGTAGATGACTGGATGAGGAAGACATACAGGCCTGGGGTCTGGGACACGCACAAAGACAAATGGGTAAATTGGGTATGTTTTGGCTCCTATAGGCTGCCTACTAGGTTATTTCCCTCCTGGCCCATCTTCAAGAGAGGGCACCTTGCACAAAGAAGGACCATACCTAAAGAAAAACAGTAAAGACTTCAGCAGAAAGCATAGCAGAACTTTATTACTCTTGACACTTGTCCCACTCCCCCAAAAGCAGACATAACTGCTCCTGGTTTTGCAGGGCATGCCTGGTTCTTCTCCATTCATGCTGGAAGGGTTGAAGTAAAAGAGTCATTAGAAGAGCTATTTGTCGCAGCCTGATGAGAGAAAAAGCACTCTTTGACAGCCTGGCAGGAGAGGTAGGGTTACGTTGAAGAATTTATTTCCCTCTTCCCAGATCCCATCTGCAAGAAGAAGCACCTGACATGAAGATGTCGGTACCCTCCCTCACCAGACAAGAAGTCTGACACTACCTAGTCCAGACCACTGTGGAAAGGTAGACAGGCCAGCAGTGTAGTATGAGACGAAGGGACGGTGTGGATGTGTTGGGGAAAATACTGCAAATCTCTTGTTACTGTTTTTGCTTGGTGGTTCTTTTGCCAGGGCAGGCAAATAAAACTTACAGGTGACATTACCGCATACAAACTTTGGTTTGCCACCTCCACTTGTTGCTGAAAAGGAAGAGGAGTTTTGGCTTAGGAGAGCAAAGTTAAAGTCCAGAACCCCAACAAGCACACTGTTCACACAAGTTATTTTAACCCTCTTGTTGATCTGTTGTATTTCCCTCAGAGCAGGCTCAAATTTTAATCACACCATGTAAGAACCAAACCAACTTTAACAGTAAGGCCTACAAATTACAGTATTTGATTAAAGCTATAGCACAGGTTAAAAGGGGAAAAAAAAAGAGAGAGCATTTAAAAACACAAATCCTTGTGGCCACAATTTTGGAAGCCACATTCTATCCCTGGACCCAGTGAGAGTTTCTTACTGCTTCTGAAAAACCGAGTCCCTTCTCCAGGCTGCTGACTGCAGCCCCTAGGACTTAGTTTAGGGTACGGAATCTGTGGTCTCCTGAGTCTAAATGCACTAACGGAGATGGGCACTAGATGGCAGAAAGGGCTAAAATAAGCACTTCAGTTATGGTGCATACTTCTAAAAACGTCAGTAGCCGCAGTTTTAGTGCTACTGAATCATTTATACAGGCCAAACCCGGTACAGTTGCCCCTGAACCAAAGCCAACAGCATTGAAAGCATAAAAGAGCTTAATGAATGACATGAAAATGACACAAGATACAGACTGAAGACTTTGCACAAATGAATGCAACTTGAGAAGCAGAAAGTCACCATCGGCTGCTTTGTTTGGAGAACAATATTCACTGGCTATGCACACAGTAGATAATGTCGATATCTGGGTACTTTTTGTTCTTTGGTTAGTTTTAATTCTTCAGGTGTTTTTTGTTCTTTACGCCTACTAAAAAGGAATTTGTAACACAAACACACAGAATGCAAGAGAGGTTCAGTAAAAAAGGACCCACTTTGTGAAGGTGATTTGCAACCAAACCTTTTTTCCCATGCACCGAGGAGGGTATATACGTTCTCATCCTGCCAAGTCCTGGAGAAGAGGAGGTTTGCTCAGACACCTGTCCAAAAGCCTGTCTGTGCATCACACAAGACAATACTGATGAAGGTGAGTTGGGTCCTTCCGTTGAAAGCTTAACCCTGAGAACCTCCACGGGCATGTCCCACCAGAAGTTGTCCATGTGAATGGCTGCCCCATCCCACCCCATATAGGCTCAAAAACCTACTGGAAAGCATGTGACAATGTGGTGTCTCCTGAACCATCCAGTAGCAAAGCAACAAGAGAGTGTACCAGCTCTGTGGTGGGATTTGCACTGGCAGACTCAGCTATTAGGTAGGAAACTGTCCCATTGCAGAGCCCTATCCTTCATCCTCACTCTGCCCACAAACCTGGCAGAGCTTTGCCTGCCAAAAGGTCCAGCAAAGCATTTATTTGCTCTCCACAGAGGAGAGAGATGATACCAGGGGAAAGAAATCCTTCTTCCCCATTTCTGTTTCTCACCATGTCCTCTCTGCCAGTGCAGGAAATCTATTCAGTATGCAACACCTATTGCTATTGAATTTAGGGTTATATTTACCAAATTTACCAAGGAATGATGAGAAGTGGTGGCGGGGGGGAGGGAAGGTATGTTTTTGTTGTAGTTTTTGCAAGCAATCTGGATGCTTAAATTGGAAAATTAGCTAAAGATCTGAACATTCAGACCAAAGTCTCACCAGGGGACTCCTCAAAGGCTTGGTAATTCACTGCAGCCTCCAAGTTTGCTGGCTGAGGAACAGCAAAATCAGTCTGCGAATGGGGAACGATGAACAAGGTGAATGAGGGAGTCCCAGAGATGAACCTTCCCATGCTGTTAAAGTGAACATGAAGCACAAGGGGATGGTTGCTGGAAACTCTTGACACACTGAAAAAGAGAAAAGCTGCCGCTCACGACAGCCCTGTCCTCACGCAGGACTGTCACAGAGGTGACTCGGACTTTCTGCGGATCATTCTACAGGCACCTTTTACTGCAACGCTTGCTTTTAGCTCTTTTCTTTTCTTTTCAATCAGCCCGCAGACTGTAGAACGTGGAGCTTTCTGCCAGCCCCGGAGGGAGCTGGTCCCACTCTGCTGTACCCAAATTTCCCCGCATTCCTGGACCGATCGCTGCATCCTCCTCCTTCCGGCCCCCCC